TTGACTCTTCCAAAGAGGATTTGGAAGTGCAGGCATAACATGCAGGGAAGCATTTACTAAAAAGGGGTAAAGTTTGTGATCCAGGCCATGAGCAAATGGGAAAGCAGCAGTTTGGTTTAATTCTGAGAAAAAAGCTCTACAGACGAGGTTCGCTTTATATGTGTTGATAGAAAAGGTCAAGAGATGCTTTCAAGAAATGAGCTACTGTATGAAGATGATAGGCGTAGCCAACAAGTATTTGAGTGTGGCGCCGGGATGCATGTGGTTGAGTTATTGACAATATAAATTTAGATTTAATCCTCCACAGCAACAGGCAGAGTTCAAGCATGTTCAAGAAAAGAGCGTTGCCATGGGGAGAGAGGATGGAGACAAGGATATTCTGGAAGAGGAGGATAGCTGCAAGAGTGAAAGAAGGTTTACACGACAGAGGACAGAGAAAAAAAGAACAGGAGATGGAGATGGTTGCAGCCCGTCAGATCATTTCAACTAATCTTAACTAATCATAAAAATAATGAACGGATCAGCAAAGATCTGTAACCAGAGCTCTACTGAACGAGGCTGGCTTGCTTCTTTCCTTCTCCCAAAGCAAGAGTCCATTTCATATCCCTGTCGCCTCAGGCATGATCAGTATGAGGAACTACAGCAAAGTCAATGACTTGATGCTATTGTTTGGATTTTCTTAATGATGTGGAAAAAAAAACAAAACAAAAAAACATAATAAACCCAACTAATCATAAAAATAATGAATGGATCAGCCTAAAGACTATCTTTGATAGATTTAGCCAAAATCCTACCGTACAATGTTCTAATTAGTTAACTGGATCAGGAAGAAACCACAAGAAAAATGAAATAAAGTCTAAAATACAAAGCTAAACCTTTATTTCATCGCACCAATTTAACCATTTTATTTACATATTAAGAAAAACAAGCAAGTTTCAGGTGTTCAAGTGAACCAGCTCAATACACTGAGTGCAGCGATGATCACAGCGATCGATGACCAGTCTCCAGCAGCAGCGCCTCCAGGGCTAACCGGGTCTGGGCAGGGATGAACGGCTGGTGGAGCCAGCAGGACAGGTAGACCATGTGCAGGTCAGCATCTGCAGTGTGGGCCAGTTCCTGCAGAATCACCTGCTTCAGCTTCAGCTCCTGACTGAAGGCAGCCAACAGAACCCGAGAGGACTCCTCTGAAACACACAGGTAGACACATGAGTTCATAAAACCACGGAGGCTTGAAGGAGAGGACCATGGAGGGGTTTTTATTTGTTGACATTTCAGCATGGTACCTATTCTCAGCAGCCTTTACAAAGTTCGTGCGACTGCTGGAACTGCACAGAACAGCACCTTAAAGACCTAATCAACTCTAGAGTCCAAAAGCCTAAGAGTGTATAAAGAATGAAACATAAATAAACCACAATGATTCCTTCCAGTGTTTTTTTAAAGCAAAAAAAAAAAGAAAAAAAAAAAAAGAAACACAAACTGTGGTTCTTAAAACAGCCTGAAAAACTATGGAATTTGATTTCAGCTTTTTCTAGATCTGGATAGAATAGAAAAATATTCATATTCTGTTGTCAAAATGCTGCGAGCCTCCTTCCATGTGCCCTTTCTATCGTCTATCCATCCAATTCTTCCTTCCTTGCTTGCTTCCCTCCATCCCTATTCTTCCTTCCTTCCATGCTTCCTTCCTTCCTGACTTATCACTGAAGCACACAAACAAACCACATCAGAGTTTAGTCAGAGTTCAGAGTGAAACACCAGGGATCTAACCAAAGGTGGACTAACCAAACTCTTTGGTCTTCCAGCTGTGGCAGAGAGGTAATGTTCTTCCTTCAGGTCCAAACTGAAACTCCTCCAGATCCTGGATTCCTTGCTGTACACTCATCAGATGCTCCATCTTTGCCACTATGACAACCTGAACAAATGAAAATCGCTTTAAAAACAAACTTGTGTTGGATCTAGCATCTGATGTCGATGATAAGGCCATGTTAATGTCGGCCTCAATATTAATTTGCTGCTCCTAATAATGACAGGAAGTCTTAACAACCCGAGTCTTCATTCAGTTGATTCGTATGCTCAGCTGAAGCTAAATGAAGCATCACCATTCGGTCAACGACAGCCTGCAGCCTGGAGCATTCATCCTGCAGCTCTGCTGCTCCAGCTGCCTGCTGCTGCACAGCTGAAGGAAACATCTGACATGCTGAAGCTGGAGAGAAGTCATCCGGAGGCTGCTGGTCTCTCTGAGAACTGAGGAAGAAAATAAAACAGAAAAATAACAGTCAAATGGTGATTACATTTTACATTGAATAGTTTCTGGGTCAACTATTGGCTAGAGGACAATCTCACTGTGAGCAGCTGAGATTGTTCTGAGTAGATTGGAGCAAAAAATATCTCATTTTGTTTTTACTACGGTGGTATAGGTGAGATGTAAATTAATTAGATTCATGGGGCTAAAGCAGCACATCTTACAGCCATCAAATGTGCTGTGATTAGTATTTAATATATTATTAAAAATCTAATTACAGTACGTTTATTAAGAAAACATCAAACTACAGGAATGTAAAGAACTGAGCACACTCACTTCCTCATGTTGACGATGTTTGTTGCAAACTGGAATCCGTCGTCGTTCAGTTTTTCCCACTTCAGCATCAGGTTGTGCCAGTCGGCCGCATTGTCTTTGATCTTCCGAGCACTTCCTGTGATTGCAGAGAACTTTGTGTTGGACGAGGACATTGGAACATCAGCTGGGATACCTGGAAACACATTCACACACACATTAACACAAATTGTCTCTGTGGAAACAAACAGTCCATACTTATTCCTACGCATAAAAACAAACCAAGATGAACACCACACTGTATATTAGATCATATTAGAATGATAGAATTGTAGAAGTCTTTCAGCATGGCAGGTTAGAGTTCTATCCACTGTCAGGAAATCTTGATGAAGTCTATAGAGGATTCCCAGCAGAAGGAGAATGTCATTTAGATGTGAATTGAGCAAATCGGTGTGTGAAGGTGCCATAATTTTCTCTAACTGAACATAAACACAACTGAAGTTATTACATTTTTGGACCAAAAAAGGAACAATCTAGAGTCAGCAAGCAGCTTCAGTTGTTACAACTGCACAGTAATGATCAGGCCTGAAATCTGGGTGTAGTGATAGACTCGGACCTGAACCTTCAGAGCCACATGAAAACAATTACAAAGTCGGTCTTTTATCACCCAAAGAACATTTAAAGGACTGATGTCCCAGCAAGAACTAGAGAAACTCATTCATGTATCTACCTTTAGTCACTGGAGCTCAGAGGATAGACTTTAAAATATTTTTGTTAGTTTATAAATCACTGAATGGCCTAGTAGTAAAATACATTAAACAGAAGACCTGCTCCAAACCTCTCAGGTCTTCTGGTTCTGGTCTGCTCTGCATCCTCAGAAACAGAACCAAACATGGACAAGCGGACTATAACAAGCTTTTACATTACTGACGATGAAAAATTACTTTTCTTCATCATTATAAACTGTTTGATGGCTAATTGTGAGCTATAAATCTCTTTAATCCCGTTAAAATGCAACTCCTTGGTTTCACTAACCGATGTTTCCCTTCCCAATATGGCGGGCGCATTGACGTGAAGCTGCAACTAGGGCCCAGTATGTAGCTAATTTTTGACTATGGTCTGAAATTTGTGTTATATTTGTTGACAGTTAGTTACTGTCATTCTATTTTAGTTAAGAATCGGATCAGGAAACATTTATTTAAGTATAAATGTAAAAAAAAAAAAAAAAAAAAATCGGACGTTACCCTGTATCCTAATCCAGTTTTCTAACACAGCAATCCATAAACTGCTGCCCAGACGACCACCCTCCGTCTGTACCTGTCTGCAGATAACCCACCACTTTCTATTTGAAGGAAAAATATGTTACTTACATTAACACGTTAGTCCGTTAGTCACCTACTTGCCATAGTTTGTTCTTCTTCTACTGCTTCTTCGTTTTGTTTTGTGTCAGATGGGCCGTGAGCGCCTCTAGCGATCAACGACCACTATAACCAGAAATACAGACAGATAGATAGATAGATAGATAGATAGATAGATAGATAGATAGATAGATAGATAGATAGATAGATAGATAGATAGATAGATAGATAGATAGATTTGCACTGTATACATGTACTATACATACAGTGCATTCAGAAAGTGTTCACAGCACTGTACCTTTTACACATTTTTATGTTATTAACCTTATTCCAAACTGTATTAAATTAATGTATGTCCTCCTACACACAAACATCCCATCATGACAACGTGAAATTTTGTTTATTTTGAAAATGTATTAAAACCGAAAACCAAGAAGCTACATTTATGTGAGTATCTACAGCCTTGCTTAACATTTTTGTTAATCCACATTTGGAATCAAGGCAGCCTCAAATCTTCTGAATTGATACCAGCCCAACTCACCTGTCTTTAGGCAGTTTGGCCCGTTCTTCCCTGAAATTTTTCTCCTGCTCCATCAGGCTGGATGGAAGACATTTGTCAGTCATTTTCTGAGCTCTCCTGATATTCAGTCAGGTTCAAGTCTGGTGTCATAGTCATAGTTCTGAAGCCTTTCAGATCTTGGCCATGTGCTTTGGGTCGTTGTCCTTAACTGAAAAACAGCCTGTCATTCCTCTGCAAAACAATGTGTATATTGCAAAACATAACAAACATGTTCAGTTCTTTCTTTTTCCCCCCCATTACCAAATAACATTGAAATAACTAGAATAAAGTAAAACATTTTCAAGAATAAATCAAAACTCTGTTTTGTGGTTAAAAGTGAAATATTGAGAATAAAAGTGTAATGGCATCTTTAAGGGAAGGAAGGGTGGACTGCTGAAGCTGGTGTGTTCTTCTCCAGCAGGGTTAGTATGTGTCTGGACAGGATCAGTGCTGCCTGCCAGGCTGGGCTGAAAGAATTCCTTGGATAATAAATCCTATTTACTTTATAATGTTACACAAAACCATGGCTGTCACGTAGCAGGTCTATCTATGACTGTGTACTTTGAACACTCTGATCTCAATATAGCAACTTTATTTTCGATATTTCTGCACTTTCAACTTAAACTTCAGTCTTTACCAGGTAAACAGCAGAAATATCAACAAATTAACAAAAAAAAATCCCATTTCGTAATTTTTTTCCATTGACCCTTTTTAGTAGTCAGTAGACATCTGATTCATCTGCTTCATTTTATTTGTATTTCACAAAATCTAGTGGAGAAATTCGACGTAATATTGTTAAGATAACCTCATCAACTTTGGCACAAATGGAACCCCATATCAGTGCAGACAAATTTTCTATTAATATTCACCGAATTGTTGTTACAGCAGAACGGATAAGCCGGAGTTAACCATAACTCAAAATAGTTCAAAATAAAATAAAAAAACAACAAATCCATAATGTATGCTACTATATGTCGTGTCTTTTGAAATGTCCCTACTTCTGTCCCAGTTCAGACATTATAAACCTTCGGCAAACCACGGCGGAGTGACGTCTTCTGGTTTACGCAGATTCGCAACCCAATGACGCAAGCAGGAAGTTGGGAGAAAGTCCGAGCATCCTCGGAGAAGCGAACTTCAGCTCGTAGGTGAAGTGAAACAAGAATCCAGAGTACAAGTGAGTAGTCGACCAGACTGGTGTCCGTTTGCCACAGGGCCGTCTGTACCGCCTGCTTTCTCCGTTGGTTCTGACAATGACGTCGGCTCTCCAGCTTCCCAACGAACTATGGCTGCAGGTGTTCAGCTTTCTGTCCTGGAAGGACAAGCTGAGTATGCGCTGCACATGTTCTCACTTTAAGCAGCTGCTGGATGAATGTCGGCCTCTGTGGCGGGGCTTCAGCGTGGTGCTGAAGGACCTGTCCCGGTACAACCGCGCCTTCTGGCGGAGCCTCGCTCGGAGGCAGCTGGACAGCGTCGCCCTGCGGGGAGGGAGGAAGAGGGACCTGAAGCTGCTCTCTGTCTGGTTGCCTCTACTCCAGGCCCTGCGGCTGGACACCTGGAGGGGAAGCGACGTCCAGGAGCTGAAGCGGTTCCGCCACGTACACAGCCTGACTCTCACAGCCTGTTCAGAGCCGCTGTTGAACCTGGAGTTCCTCCTTCCTCTGGGTCAGCAGCTGACCCAGCTCAGCCTGTGTAATGTGCAGCTGGCCTGTCCTCCCTCCCAGCTGCTGGCCAGCCTCTCCCGGCTGACTCGTCTCAAGTCTCTGGTCCTGCACCATGATGGCTGTCTGAAGATCCCAACGCTCAGAGGTGTCCTCTCTCAGCTGGTTAACCTCAACTCCTTGTCCTGGACCATGATAAACTACAAAAGACTGTCTCAGGACTTCTTCTGCCCGGCCACTGGCCCAGGTAAACAAAAGGGGAAACCTATACCTTCAGACTGGAGGTGGGCGGGTCAATCCAAAATATCGGTAATATCGCTGCTAAGTCGGTATCGGTATCAGATCGATAAGCTCCATTCTTTAGTTTCAGATTCACCTCTACTTAAGACTGAAATTTATATCTTCCCACAAGGACATAAGAAACGAGAATGTTAATGAGAACCTGATCAACTGCTGTCAAAATGTCAACCTGCATTTTCTGCATCTGTGGGGAAGTAGACCTAATGATAAGAACAGTCATAACATCACACAGTGATAATGTAAACAAAGATAAAAAAGACCTAGTCTGTCAATCAAGTTAATATAAAAATATTTATTGGTGTAAAAAAGTGTTTGATCCAAGAGAAAAACAGAACTTAGTATTTAGTCCAGAATCTTGTGTTTACAGATCCAGAGATCAGATGTTTCCTGTAGTTCTTGATCAGGTTGGTGTTGCAGCAGGGATCTGGTCCACTCCTCCACACAAATCTGTTGCTGGGCAACAGACTTTCAGCTCCCTCCAAAGATTTTCCATTGGGTTCAGGTCTGGAGACTGGCTGGCCCACTCCAGGACCACTAAATGCTCCCTACAGAGCCGGGCTGCGTGTTTGGGGTCAGACCCAGTCATGACCCATCTTCAATGCTCTCTCTTAGGGAAGGAGGTTGTTGCCCAGAACCTCGTGATGTTTTCCCCATCCATCCTCTTCTCAATGTGATGCAGTCCTCCTGTCCCCATTTGCAGAATGCTTCCACCCCCATGCTTCACAGAGAGGGCTGCGAAAGACACAACAAAAAAATAAATAAATAAAAATTGGTCCGCCTTACAAGACCTTCTGCAGGCCCTCTGGTCTGAGCTGACTAACATAAACTCAGCTCAACTCAAAGTAAGGGAACAGCACTCAGTTCATCTGAAACTATAAAACATGAGCCAAATTAATAAGTAAATACTTCAAGATACAATTAATTTATTTAAAATAGAACTGATAAAAAAAACATTAACTGTATAACTGACATGACACACCCACCTGCAGCTAAATGAAATCCAATAACCTTCATGAAATCTGTGACCACAGCGGAATGTCTAGAAATAGAAAATATTCGGTACCTGCATTCAGTTAGAGAAATCACACAACCATGACATAAAATCCATACAGTCCAACAGAACAGAGACTCAGTCAACACACAGCCCTGAGCATGCCACAGCCACTCTTTTATTTAAACTGTACAAAGAGAAGACCACACCGGCTTTCAGGGCAATGCATTCTGGGAAATTCATCACATTCTTGTAGGACATTTAAATTTTCCTTTGATGACTTTTTCCTTGTCTGCGTTACATTGTGCAAACTTTGGCATCCAGAGCGAATGGCAGAGGGATGATTCGTGATTTTAAGAGACATGAAATAAGCAAAAATAAAATGCCAAACATTTACAATAATGTGGAAAGATTTTTCCAAAACTAATTTCCTGACATGCCCCTTCTAAACGGCAAGACTAAAACAGTTTGGATCAATACCTTTTCTGATTTTATCTCATGGTGTGTCAAAGTTTAGTCTGTTTTTATTTAGCATCTCCAGAAGATGAAAAGTCAGACAAATCCAGCAAGGAGCCGACACACGATCATGTTATCATGTTTACAGGCAGCAGCTTTCTGGAGCTCAAATACCAGGTTCTGTTTGCCAAATTGTCATCTTTGGTATTTTTAAAGCAGGTTTAATCATCAGTGATTTTCAATTCAAAACATTTATTCCAAAGGAAACTTAAATGCTGTTACTTATATCACCAAGAATCTTCAGATAGTTGTTATGAATGTTGATGCTGGGTTCAGGAAGGGTCTCCAGTAGCAGTCAGTTTTGAAATGAATCTAAAGAGTCCTCTGACTGAAGACTGTCACTACATGGCAATCTCATGACTGTCTTGACATGCTAATGGTTCAAACATGTTGAAACAACATTTTATTTGTTGTTTCAACAAATGGATGAAACCGTCAGTTGTTGCTAAATCCGCTAATCCACTTCATTTGCTTTTGCCGCTCCTCGTTAAATCTGACTGGCTGTGTGGTTAGAAAGCTGGGCAGATGATGTGATCCTGGTCCCATATAGGTGAACATTTTTTAAAATCAGCTTTGGTGCTGTGGGAACTCTTTGGTCGGAAGTAAGCCAAGTTAAGATTAAGAAAGGACTCAGCCCTCTGGAAATGGTCTGTTGTGCACTCAGAGAAAAAACTGCAGTCAAAATTTAGTGAGAAACTTTGACAAACATTCAGAAAGCAGAAGCAGAAGTGTAGATCAGAAAACCGTCTCCATGTTTTCTCCGGTTTGTTGTTCTCTGTGTTGTCCTCCTGAATCCCAAAATCTCAGGATTGACTTTGTAACCAATTTAACACAGAAAGGTGTCAATGAACTTATTTCTAGATGCTCTTTAAATATGGGCATAGGCCCATCGCAATCAGCAATAAATCAATTAATTGCATGATAAATTAAAACGAGGTCGATAATTTCCATTTGCATGATTATTTTCTTTCTCTTTTTCTCTCTAAGGATGATAAAAGTCTTCTGTCTGGTGCTTTGGTCTCAGCTAGCCTTTGTATTGAAGGACAGTTTTATTTAGAAATTTTATTTTATTTATTCTTTCTGTTGTTTTGTTTATTTATTTTGAATATTTCAAGTCTTTCATTTCCTGTTTTGAATGTTCATTATAATTGAAAGTTTATTGAACTTTGAGAATGTGTTCTTGCATTATTTCCAGACATGAGTTATGTACGTATCTGACTGTTCCATGCTTTACAGTAATTAGCCCTGAGTGTTGTTACTCCATTTTATAAAAGAAAATGTAGTTCTATACTAATAGGATAAATTGTTTTTGCAGGTTCCTGTCATAAATGATATTATCTTTTTAATAAATGGGGTTTTACTCAGATTAGCATTTCTGATATTGGAATGGTTTGAATGTTTTAAGAGACAAAAAGCCAAAAGTGAAGAAATCTGTAAGAGAGGTGACTATTTTTCATACTGTAAATCCA